TTCCTAGATGCCTAATTGAAAGCCATCTTATTTGAGAAATTATTCAATATGATCTTCCTTCCTGATGTATAAACAGTCAAACCGTCTTAAATGTTGGAGCTTAGGTTGGGCAGTGGATGGATAATAGTCTTGAATAAGTTCTCCTCCTTGTTGTACTTCCTTATAAGGACTGCCTTCTGTATTTTATTATACTTTTTTTTGCTAATAATATACAATTTAATGAAAAGTTTCATCTATAGGCTTAACATCCTACTACTAGAATTAGAATTGTTGAGGTCTTCAATAGAATTTCAAATCAAATGAATTGTGATACATTTATAATTATGTTTCACTTTTTATTACCCTGGTTAGGATCTCAGAAGTAAATTATAAATGCAAATTTACTACCTCTTTAGTCCTTTATGCAATCACCTAAAATATTAACTCTTTCTTGTCTTTATCTTAGTTTGAGGTGGCTCTTTCTCTTTCATTTGACTTAATGTATGTATATATGTTATTGCATGCATATAAGCTGAAATTTATTGAATATGTAGTTTAAGGTTTAATAAATAAATACAATAGCAAAGCTTTTTTTGATATCTCAGATAAATTTTGTTCTATTAAAATGCATTATTTAGTTGAAAAGTGCCTCCTAAAAATCGTAATATTTAAAGGCTTAGCACTATACAAAGTGAAGTTCCTTTCTCCAAGTTTAGAGTTTTGAAAGAGAAAAAAAAACATATAATTTTCAAAGTTATTTACCAAATTGACAGAATGTGTTACTCTAATGAATAAAAATACCAATTCATATTTCTTCCTATAAATGCAACATCTGCTTTGAATTATAATCACTCTGTGGAAGTAAATATGCAAGGAAAATATCTTAAGTGATGTAAAAAGCTGCCTTCCATGTTGCCTAGTTCTAAAATAGGTCTAAACACCAATTCAAGTTGAAAAGAACAGTATTGAGACCTTTGAGGCTACAAAGTCAGTTTTTTTGTAAAATATTAACTCCATGTGTGAGGAGTTAGCTTAAAATGTTGACAAAAATGAACAAGATCAAGGATTCAAGATATTTTTCTCATCATATATTAAGCTATGGTGGTTCCTCTCAGTTAAAAGTTTCCAAGCTATATGGCAGGCCTTATAGCTTTCACAAAAATATAGATGATCTTTTCCAGTTATTTAAACCTCAGACATCTTTCTAGGCAGTGTTATGTAGTGAACAATGCTTCAATATGCAGAAAAATATTATCTCATAAAATAACAGACCCCATTTACTGAGCATTTAATGCCTTGTGCCTGACAACGCATTAAAGATATTTCATGTAACGTTTCCTCCACCCTCAGAAGCAAGTGGTTTCAACTCTGTCAGCCTCACTGAAATTTCCCTCATTGCTTTTAAGTACACTGAGCTGAAATGATGCTAATTAAAGGTGATACAGTTAGTGATTGACAGGGATTCAAACCCAGGCTGGGAAAGTCCAATATTTCCACCATCACAAATTCCTTAGGAAACAAACAAAAAGTAAAAAACAATTGGGCGGAGACTTCCTACCTTTGCATGGCCATAGGCTTTTGGTCTGGTCTTGCAGACCTCACATATTCTCCATCTTCCAACCGGGAATAATATTGTTTGATTCCTAAGATCAATGTAGATAGCCTCCCCAAAAATCTGTGTGTCCTTTAATATTCAAAAGTATTTTTTTCATTCATTACTTATAATTTATGTCGAAATTAAACTTGTGCCTCAGTAGTTTTCAAAACATGATCTGAGGCACCTTGGAGGATCCTGAGACCCTTTCAGTGGGTCTAGGAAGTCCTCCCTTTTTTCAAATACTTCTGTAAAAGGCTGGATCTTCCTCATATACTTCCACCAAAGCAACATATCTCAAGAAATTGAGTGCAGAAGTAGTGAAAAATTCAGCTGTGGAAACCAGACATTTAAAGAGATTCACAAAAGTATAAAACAACACCATTCTCACTAAACTTACTTTTTTCTTTGGAGAATAAGTATTTGTCATCAAAAGATGCTATTTTTATTAACACTTATGTGTATGTTATTATTTAAAAATTATTAGTAAATATTTTTTAAATTTTTCAGTTTTAATTTCTAACACAGCGATATCAATAAACAAAACCCACATAAATGAAAAATCTTGGGGTCCTTATTAAAATTAATAGTGCAAAAATTCCTGGGAGAGAGAGAAGTTTGTAGTCCACTGTTGTAAATATTTATGAGACTTTTAATTTTCTCATATTACTATTTGATATTATATAGTTATTTCCTTAAAGCATAACTTCTTGAAAATGGAAGTAATGCTGTTTCTTTTATTTGTCATGTGCATAGTGTCATAACTGGTACTTCTAAAATATTCGGAGATTGTTGATTGTTAGAGGTTAATTAATCTTTATCTTTATACAGGCATTTAAACCTAGGACAAATTCAAACTCAGATTTTCAGTGTTATTTGGAATTAGAGAGAGAAAATAAATCTGTCTCCAAAACTGGAGGAGTTCATATTTTAGCAATGGAAAATTATTTCCCCTTGTTAGGGGAAGATTCCAGCTCCCTCCTGGTTAGTGCCCCATTTGCTTTGCAACCCCAAAACAGGACATAAAAATATGTCTTAGTAAGGAGAAAAGATTTTCTTCTTTTTGAAGTTGAACTTTGTTTCAAAACAGTTTTTAAATATATACACTAAAGTACTAGCTTAAAGAAACCAATTAACTTAAATTTATTGTAAGTATAGAGGTAAATAAAATGGAATTTAATTTTAGAAAGTATATATAGGCTTTCCAATGGCTTGGAACGTCACCTCTGTCTTTTAAGATCTTGGATTCTTATTTTTCTCTCTGTGTATGTATTTCCATCTCGTTTCTGTATGGGGCTGCCGCATACCAGCAGGTGGCAAATCAAAGCATCCCCAGAATGGGAATCTCAGAGACAGATAGGATGTACACAGCTTTACAGGTCAATCAGGCATAGCTAAGTGACTCAGCATCGCATTTCCTCCATTCCAGACTCCCCAGAGAAGGAATCCAATTGTGTTATCCACTCTTTATACAGTTATCTGAGCTTGTGGTGGTGGTATATTTGGGTTGGGAGTGGTCATGTGGTTTCACAGGGAATATAAGGTTAACTTTATGTCCTTTATGAAGGAAAGGAAACGAGACAATATTTGGGAAAGTCTCTAGCTTTAGGACTTCAAATAATTAAATCCTTCAGAAGATGTTAGACCTTTAGATAAAGTGATAGAAAATCCTTCCTGATTTATTAAAAATCTTTTCCAAAATTATGTAAACCTTTGCTTCAGTGGTTTTAGTATTAGCTGTCATGAATCTTCTCGGAATTTTGATCAAAAATAAAAATGTCATTAGAGCTACAGAAGCAAGTCATATATAATACATAAATGGCAGTTTTAGTTGGTTGCCCTCAAAAATAACATTACAATTCCACATAGATAAGTTTATTGGTTTCAGAATGAGATAAATAGGCCTATGTTTGCAACATTTTAAAATATAACTGCATACTTATATGTTGAAACTTTCCAAAATATATTTTCTTATGAATTTGGTCTATCCGAAATGTAAAGAAATATTAAAATACTGATTTTTATATCATGTATAATGTGGGGATAGAATGTTATAATTTAAAAATAAGCTCTTGGTACCATTTTAACATGCTTTTAGAGGAAAGATGTTATTCAGAAAACACAAGGATTTGCAGTCAGCCCTAGGTCAACAGGCACAAAGCCTGATTTGTTTTCTTGTAAGTTTTCTGTCCAGAAGTTACGTAATGGCTAAAAAGGAGCTCAGAGGGAGACTCTAAAACAAGTACCACAGATTGAGACTGCAGTTTTCCCTAAGAGTTCATGAGTCTATAACGTGCAATAAAAATAAAGCTAACAAATTTTGTTCAATAAGCAAATCTTGCAATAATGAGAAGTCAACGTAAGTTATTATATATTTTAATATTATTCTAAAATATTTACGAAGTAAAATATCTAAGTCCCTATCATATTCAAGTTGTTAAATATGTAATTGAATACAAAATACATTGAACATAGATCCTATTCACTACTTAAAAGTCTAGTTTAATATATGGAAAAAGAATATAGGAACTACACAGTAGATAGCACATAATTATAATAATTCTTGTATCTTTCTCTTGTATCTTTCTCACAATAAGTAGCAATGGTCACTGTGTGATATATTTTTATAGCTGATTTTT